CTCATGGCAGCCCAGCTCCAGGTCGAGCTGTTGTTCAGCATCTTAGCTGTAGAGGGCAGTGTCACTGGCCCTCACATGTGGGATGCGAACCGGGGCCCTCTGGCGTCCCAAGCCAGTTCCCAACCATTGCGCCACTCGGCCGGCCCGAAAAACTTCATTTTTAAATAAGAGAATTGATATGGTTGATAACAAAAAAATCATTAGAAACATAATGAAAATTTAAAAATCTAATTTACAATAGTAAATGAAAGATTAAAGATACAGACATTAGTTCAGTGGTTGCCAGAGGGTAAGGAGGGAAGGGGGTGGTAGATGAGGGTAAACAGGGTCAAATATGTGGCGATGGAAGGAGAACTGACTCTGGGTGGTGAACACACAATGTGATACATAGATGATGTATTACAGAATTGTACACTTGAAACCTATGTAATTTTACTAACCATTGTCATCTCCAATACATTTTAAAAAATAATAATCATAACAAGTATTGCCAATGATGTAGAAAAACTGAAATCCTCATAAATTGCTGGTGGGAATGGGAAAAAAAAGAAAATAGCATTTATTAAAAAGAGAAACAATCCTATATTTTAAAAAATGGCAAAGGACACAGATCTGAAGACAAAAAAGAGAAATTAAAATGCTCATAAACATGAAGAGATACTAACCACACTAGTCATTAAAGAAATGCATATTGAGCAACAAGGGGATATCACTCCCATCTCAAAAGTAATTCAGTGATGAATGTTGGGGGTTTTGGGGGGATGGGGACACTTCATAAATTGGTTGCTGGGAATAAAAATTGGTATAATCCATTTGGAAGGTAACTGGACTATCTCTATCAAAATTTAAAATGCACATATCCCTTGTGTCAGTCACTGAATTTCTAGGAATTCATCCTGCAGATACGCTCTCTTACTTATGTAAATACAAATGCACACGAGGGTTTGCAGTAGCATTGTAGCCATACAAAAGTCAGAAAATAAGCAAGTGTCCTTTTCAGTAAGGAACACTTAGAATATATATATATATAGTGAAGCATTATTCACATTATACTACTATTGGGTTGTTGGAAAAGTCATAACGCATGTTTGCGACAGATGGCACTAGTTCATTTTTTTTTTTAAGATTTTATTGGGGAATTGGGGGGAGGGGAACAGCATTGGGAAATCGGGGAAGGGGAACAGAAAAGTTGCTGTCCTTTTGTTCTTCAGTCTAGTTGTGGAGGATGTCGCTTCACTGGCCCATGTTGGTATGATCATTGTGCTCTTCCCGGGTGAGGCAATTGGTCACCTGTCATTGGTCAGCCACTCACAGCGACTCCCAGTAGCTCACAATAGCTACCAACGGCTCATGCTGGCTGCAAGCCACTCACTTAGCTCATGGCAGCCCACTGCAGCCTTGCTGCAGCCTATGCCATTGCTGTCGACTCACAGCAGCCCAGCTCCAGGTTGAGCTATTGTTCATCATCTTAGCTGTAGAGGACGAACATCACTGGCCCTCAATGTGGGATCTGAACTGCAGCCCTGCTGCTCAGAGGTGGTGCTCCCAAGCGAGCTCTTAATCAG